GGTAAAACAGTTAATAACCACATCATCGAAGTTATTAAACTCGCCATTATATTACTGGGACTGAAATAAGTCAGTCAGTTCTTTGTGGGAAAAACTTTGGAGGACGGTCGGTAGTTGTAGCCTTCTTCCTTTAGCTTTTCAGAAAGGCAATGAAATTGGACTTGACTTTTCATAAAGTTGTTAAAATTATGAGGAAGTACTTTTCCTCTTATAAAAGCAGCGACCAGCAGCAGCACCTGCAACACCAAAGGGATAGTAGCAAGTCAATCGACGGAAAGGAAAGTGAATAAAATTTCATTCATTAATAACAGTTTATCCGAGACACCAAGTGTGAAAGAAAGCCTTGAATAGTTTCATTTCACGTTCAGTCACATAGTATGTCCCAACAAGGCAAGAATATTTTGGTAAATGTTTTCATGTTTTGTCCATATCTCCTTTCTGTTTGTGGTCACTTCATGCTGCGGTGTACGTGTTAAACGTCACTTATTTACAATTGCACGAGATAGTTTCTTTTAAAAACGATTGAAATTGATAATGCGAGGAAAGATATAGAAGAGAAAATTTTCCCTTTATAATCATAAAAAGTGATATCCGGCAACCTACGTACGAAGCGATGTTCGTGACAAGCTCCGTAGGATCCTCAAAATGCTAACCTCTGTGATGGGACCAGTTTCCGCTTGAGACAATATTTATTTCGGGGTAATATTAAATCTCAAACTTTCCGACTTCTAGTCACGTAAATAAAATTGCGTGCAAGGGAAATGGGTGTCATTGTTTTTTTTGAAACTATGCAAACAAGACTTTAAATTAGATCACGTTATTAATAAGCTGACAGCTAAGCTCCTTTACTCTAAAAAAAGACCACATTGTTTATATTAATCAGCATTAATCAAGATACGGAGCTTTAATAAGTGAAGATTTCCTCAAATATGAGTCAGATTAACCAAGACATCACGGACGCAGCATTGACCGTAGGCAGCAAGAAGGAAACTAAAATGAAGCAAGAAGGAGAAGTAGCTTGCCAGGAACATGTTAAAAGACGGCGAAGACGAAATATAAGGAAAGAAATGACCAGTGATACCGGTAATAATTTGGCTCTAAAGCAAGATAAACTGGAAAGAAAAAACGCAAATCGTGAACAGGGAGAAAAGCGGAGAGAACAAACAAAGAATAACGGAAAAGAACAAAACCGACGATATGGTATGGTGGTTGAAGATATATACATTGATTTAGAGGACATTGTCGACGATATTAAACAAGGAAAGCTCTCATTAGAGGCGCTACCGAAAATGGGACTATTTCCATTGCACGAGGCAGCCGCTCGAGGACTCACAAAATGCGCTGAGAGTCTCATCGAACTTGGACTTCAGTTAACCAACGAGACTCCTGATGGATTCACGCCACTGGAGGTGGCTGTTATGGCGGGAAATTTTGACGCTGCAGCTCTGTTGATTCAATATGGAGCTCCTATTGACCGCATTCGTGATGGGATCCCACAGTTTGCAAGATGATTTGAACATTTATGAACCTGAAAAAATTGACTATTAGCAGAGTATTGCAGTGCGCAAACACAGTCGACACTCATCCACATCATTTTCAAGGCTGTATATTTTGTATTTTTCATACCGAAGGGAGAAATAATTAAAAACATTAAGGTCTATTCTGTGATAAAAAGAGAAACATTGAGCTATTGACAGTCCATTACAAGATAATTAAGAAAGTGAGAAGTGCTTTTTTGGTTTTTATCGTTCTTATCGTGTATTTAATAAGTTAATAAACTGTCATATTATTATAATGTTCTTGTGTATTTAAACGTTTGACTATCGACTGAACATGAGAACAGTGTATAACAATGGAAGCACACAATTTTCGTCACACTGACTGAGCCACGTGGCGGGATCGATAAGATCTGCTAATCGCGTCCGATCAATTATCACAAGAACTCAATATACTAAGTTTATCATAATTATTTGGTCCAAGTATAGTAATAAAACTTTTTTTTTGCCGACATCAGTCTTACCCTTCTGTTTCCGCTCTCCGAATACTGTATTAGGAGTCGAAAGTGCAATATCAACTTTTAGCAAGTCAAAGTTGTAAAATGTTCAATTTAATACTCCAATCAAATCATTCACCTTTGCTCGTTCTCCTTACCCTAGCTTCATCTATGTGGACCTACGCTGGAAAGGATGCCGAATTAGTAATATTTATTAAGTTTTCAAAACCACATTCAAACTGATTACGCCTTAAGAATACTTCCGGGAGATTTTTGTTTCACATTAAATAAAATTTTTAACACATAAATCAATGCAGACATTGGAAAAGAAGTAACTTTACCGTTACATTTCATAAGAGTGAAAAATGCAACTCGTCGTTTTCCGAATATGATAGCTAACTGTGATCGTAGGTTGATAAGACAGTTATCAACCGCTTGTGGCAATAAGCGGTGGAAATACATTAGTACAACTCGGTACTAATATTTTACTGTTAGGCTCGTGTGGCTCTTCTGAAAACCAATTTCTATGGTAGATAAGGTTGATATGAAAAATACTGGGCTATCAAAATGAATTTCGTGAGAGAAACAAGGAACCTTAGGCTATTATTTAGGTTAAAACACCTTGCAGTCGCAATGAAGTCGAAAGTTTGTTACCTATTCGTCAGTAGTGCTACTGAATTCTTTTACAAGGTTACTGCGCTTGGGTGAACGTGATTTTTGGTAAAGCTTTTTAAGACATGTTGACCTCTAGGCTCATTCATCCAGCAGAACGCCAAAATAGGGCTTACGTACAGTATCTTTCAATTCCCAGATCTTTTTCAAGTGTAGCATCAAATATCTATTCTGTCTCGAAAAGTATAGCTGGTAGCTAAACAAAAAAATAAGTTTAAAAAAATTTAGAAACTTAAAATGTCAAATCGGATGTCGATTACGTAAGAAAGCATGGTTATATAAACAGGAAATTCGTGTCCGATACGTCGTGATCACAAACGTGCAGTTTAGTTTTTTTCTCAATACATATTCCCTTTTTTTTAAATCCACTTAAGTGACACAGTAAATTTGACGGATGTCGAAGCATTGTAAAGATGTTTTTTCTTTAAATTTAAGTTCCCCCGACTAGGGTGGCAAGTGAACACAGTAGAAAAATAAGCAGATAGAGGTCGGGGTAATTGGACATAAAACCGTTTACATTAACCTAACTAAAACTATCGGTTATAGATCATGAAACCAAAGTAATAGTTCTCTAGCTTCAAAAATTTTTTGACCTTCTGAAAGCTCCTTTCGAAGGCTGCATAAACAATTTGGGAATTTAACAAAACATGCAAAAACCTCGCTAATACCCAAGAAATCCGCAAGAAGATTTATGTAATGTGAATTACAACGTATAATTTTTAAGGAAATCTATTCAAGCTATGCAGACAAAGTTAATAAAAAAATATTGAAACAAAATACCTTTAACTTGACAAAAAAACTTTCAATTGCTTCCTTAATAGTCTTAAAAAACAAATAATGAAATTAATGCATTGGACATTTAACTAGGTGGAGTCTAGGTGACGTTAACTGAACCAATAGGCAAGCCAAACTTGCGTTTTAAGTGCTTTACAAACTTTCAAATAATTTAAACACGAAATTCAAGATAGTTTGATAGAATGAAAAACACTTGCTGTTGCCGGTTTCATATCGTGAAACCGCATTAACCGCGGGGTTGAAGAGTTAAGCTTTAAAAAAGCACCGGTATAGCGTGGGACAAAACAGGGTCACGAAATATATTGCAAAAAAGTAACGAGTCTCTCGTAATCACTGTTTCCTTTGCGAGAGCCAAAACAAACCTTACGTCATACAGAGTTGTTTTTAAGCCATGATATTGTCACAGAAGGACCGGACAAAATTTATTTCGTGCTTGAAAAAAATCGCCAAAAAACTTGGTTTGACTTACATTTTCACCTCTGACCGATACTTTTTGAGCTTGGGTATGAAAGGGAAGATTAGATATGTTATATACTTATCCGTTCCTGATCCAATAATAATTCACTTACGTTCGCGTATTTCATAACAAAACTGACATGAATCCTTCTCTTTAATGCATCCGTTTATGCGTCTTCCACTTAAGGTCCCTAGCAACCAGTTGAATGTTATTTATGACTATTTTTTACGGTTTCAATGGATTTTTTTACTTCAATCTTTGTAATTTTCCATAACAATCAGATTACAATAATTCACACATATCTGTTAAATATCTGGGTATTACAACATTTGGGGATGTTAGCAAGCTCACTTGAGCTTCTCCAGAAAGATCCTCATATAAGGTACAAATAGCAGACGGCTATTAATTATCCATTATTCCCATTATACCACAAGTACTGTAAATTTGTGTACTTTCAATTTGAAGCTGCTGACAAGGATGTCTTAAAGTGTATTCTGCATATCAAAATTTAGCATTCGATCCAAAATGAAAAGACCGAGTTGTATTGGTCGTATTGGTGTCCATTATCGCAGTTTTATAGGAACTGTGGACAGTCTAGTCGGAGCTAATATAATGCGTGTTCCTTTCGTGACCTGTAAGCGTTAAAGTAATTCCGGTCATTAAATTAAGGGAACAAACTTAACGATCATAATTTACTTAAGAGCGGTTGACTACGACGAAGGAACAAAAAGGGTGTTTGTCCTATCAAAAGGTTCAAGTGTTTATGGGAGAATTAGAGAGGATAATATTTCGATCACCGATCGCAAAAACTGGACATGAAAGACATATTTTTGAAACCAGTCTAGTCAGAAATCGAAGGGAGTTATAACATGTGCTGTACTTCTTTGATCGTTTGGCCTGGCCTAAACTGAATAGGATTTCGTCTGTTTCTCTTCTGCTACCTTGTTCTATAAGCATCTTACTCAGTGTCTTATATGACAAGGCGGGCATCCGGCAATAGCAACCACAAATACGATAAAACGACGAACAGAAGACAGAACTAAACGTGTTTCTATGAGCGAATGTGGGACTCAAACGTGACTGCAGTCGGTATGTGCGGGTAGAGAGGTACTAGGGGAATTAACAAAAGTGGACCACTCATCGTCACGATTGTCTGGTGTCTCGAATCGAACAAGCCTTTTTAAAAAGGAAAAAGAGCATAATTCAAACACAAGCGACAGAACAAGAGTGTCGTGTCAAGTGAACACTTCAACGGACCCGAGTGTAAGCACAAGAAAACCAGAAAAAAAATGGATAACTGTTCCGGGATAATTGTTCGTCCGCTTGTTTCTTAGCCGTTCTGGTGGTAAAATGTGGCTACTGAGAAAGTGAGAATTCAGATTTAGAGGCAGAGAGTCTGAGAGCGCTCCAGCAGTCTTGATGCGCACTTGCTTGAATTTCTCGTTGATTTTACAGCTAGTGGCTACGTTTATTCGCCCGTAAAGCACTCACAAAACATATTGTGTGAAAATCAGTAATAAACACTTTCCATCGATCAAAGCATTGGAGGCCACTCTCCCTTATTGGAAGCGTTTTGTTGTAAATTACCAAGTTGTCTGGAGGTTTGCGTTAACAAAAGGGGGTTTCTCTCTTGGTTGTTTGAAGCTTCTTTTATTGCTTGAGTTTATTATACGTTTCTGGGAAACTGCCCACCTACCCCTCCCCTAACCAACATTTTGCCCTAAGTGAGAAGGAAGTGTTAATGTTGGCTTATAATAATCCGTAGTTCACACTTGTATTGCCTACTTACGGACTTGCCAAACAAAATTTTATTTCACGAAGTAACTGAATTTTTTCAGAGGGTGGTTACAGGTGACCTTGGGGTTTCCCTCCACGAAGGTTCAGTCCTGGTCACATTCTACTTAATTGGGCTGACAACGGCAGCTGCTGAAAAGTTTCCATGGAGTCAGGAAACCTAAGTATGTCTACAGTTCGCTATTTATGAGGCCGCGCCAGTGGTGGAGTTTCAGGTTTTAGTAGCGGACAGTTTTTAACTGTAAGTCAAAAATGTTCCTGATAAAAAGGAAGAAGAAAAGATGAAGCCTGCTTTATATCTCTAGCTAATAGAAAAAAAAAGGAAGCTGCTTGCTATTGTTGTTTACTAAGTTTTAGAATTGCGTTTCGTAATGCCCGGCCTCTGGTAAAAGCGTCCGATTTTCAGTCTTAGGCCCGGTTCAGACGCCGTACTTTTCATAACACATTGAATTAAGTACATGAAAAGTTCGGCGTCTGAATCAATTAGGAATGCTTCATGTACCGAACCTAACGCATAAATTATAATAACGTATTTTGCAAGCAGTTTGACCAAAACGAGCATTTTTCTCCTTTTGAATTTACTTCGGCTGGAATTAAGAGCGGCGTCTAAATCAAGTCAAGCGGTCTAAATAGTTTGGGTCGGCCTTAGTTCGAATAAGGTTCGGCTCATGAAAAGTTCGGCGTCTGAACCGGGCCTTAATGGGCTTATGTTTATCGAACTTATGTTCTTGGAGGTCAGGGCTTCTTTCACTTATGTGAAAACCCTGACTCAGTAGAATCAGTGAGTGATAACACACTGAGGGACAGTTATATATGACATTTATCAGAGAAGACCTCGGCCTTTATCTGCAAAAGAGGCTTATATTTTAAGGCAGGTGGTCCCACTTAGTCTGGTTTTACCCTGTCACTGGGGTGGAGATTTAAGCGCCCACCAAGATGGTGAAAACAGATCCGCAATACGGTGGGAAGTCTGTTTTGGCTACGCCTTATTCAGGTGATGTGAAAAGGAGTATTATCTCATCCTGTCGTGGACGATGTTAATGACTTCCTGTACTCATATCAGGGTAAGGGCCGTTATAGTACCAGACTTAAGGCGATCATAGTCATGGAAGAATTTAAAAAATTACAGCTGGTGCATGCTAAGTTTTATGGCGCACGTGAAACGCGATTATTACGATCGTACAGAAAAACTGTGAACAGTCTAAAAACATATCGGCGATAAAAGAGATGGTTCAGCGGTGGATGGAAAAACTTGACAATGGATTTGAATATATTTGCTGTTAGAGCGGTTTTCATTTGAGTGTCGAAAAGTAATTGGTTTTGCACTTTCTACACGATGCGATTGGCTTAAAAGATTCGCGCCACCTTTTCATCCAATCAGAAGTAAAACCAGAGCCAATTGTGACGCGCTCGCATGCATTTTCCCGCGCTTCGCGTCAGCCACATGTAATTACTTCGAGTTTTGATTGGTTCAATGTATTGTCTGTGTCCTATGTGATTGGCCAGAGTAATTACTTTGGTTTTGGTTTTACGACACTCAAACGAAAACCACTCTAAGGTACATTTTTATCAAATTCAAATCAAGGCTGGCGTTGATTTGAAGAGCAATGCGTTACGTGCACCCTTGATCAAGGATGCCAGAAAAAAGCTGTTTGAACATTAAGTAAACTTGATTACAGATTATTATAATTAATATCTATTTCACATTTATCAATATTTGATATAAAAAGATAAAGTTTTTTTTATTCTATAAATAAAAATTATTTCAACTGTAGACAACTCGTGATGTTACAGACACCATGAAACAATCTCTTAAATAGTCAGTCCCTGACAAACTAAAGTATAACAACTGCTATTACAATAGATAATTATTCAAAAAAAAATTACTAAATCTAATTTTAATATTGTAAAGCTTGGCCTCTTTTTTCTAGGACAAGTAAAATTTGGTCACCCTGCATAGTAAATAATCACATAAACGTGGCAAAGCTCGAAATAGTAAAGTAATTTCCTTATTATATACTGTAAGTCCTATATTAACTTTCCCAAGAGGTACCAAATTATTTTACTATAAACTGGGCTGTTATAAGATGTAAGGTATTTAATTAAGTTTAACAATTCTTAGCTCAGTTATAATTTAGGCCGTGCAGGGTATCAAATTTTGTTGTCTTTGTAATATTACTACGACTAGTTTCTCAGTTTCATCTTTTTCTTTTCTTCTAGTCCACTTCACCTCCCGCCTCAATCAGCTTAAGCTAACTGCGGGTTGTGCTGTGAAATACTTCCTTTTCCCTTTTAATTACTTCTAAACTTTTCCATAAGCTTGAACATACGCACAAGAAAAACGGACAAGTTCGTTCTTCTTGTGTTTGTGCTCATGCTTATGTCGTAGCTTTGACTCGTGAAAACTGGGTCGACATAAGCACAAGCATAAGCACAAGGCCGTGGACCAATCATAGGTCACTTTGACCCAGACCTTAAGCGAACATATCAAAAGCAATATGGCGGACGCTTAGTGCTTGTTAAACAGTCACACCAACATCAGTGCATGATGATACCAACACCAGCAATTGATGTCTAGATTTTCTCTGTTATAAGCTATTACAATTAAGATGATTGGTAACGTTAAGAACTTGCGAGTTAGGGTCCACCAGGTTGGCTGAACTACATCCTGGCTTGCCGACCTAACATAAGAAAACAAACAGAACAAAATCCTCAATTTCACGAACGATACTTGAAGAGCCTCTAGTAACAAACGAGCCCTTGCAACTCCCCTCCGACGCTATGTTCAAACCATACCATAGCTTTTGTGTTGGCACGTTGACCATACCGGACAGGGCATCCGTTCACACATAAGAACGATGATTTTGGCGCGATTTTTGTAACGAAGTGAAGCCGCGCTGCGCCGATCTTCAGAGTGGAGAGTCACATATCGGATAGGTGTTCACACGATTCATCATTTTCACATAGACCATAATATACCTTGTTTACCCCCTGCCCCCACCCGCCCCCCCTCCCCCTAAAAAAAATTGCATAACTATTGTTTCTAATTTCTCCTGGGTATTACAAAAATCCCAAGAGAAATCGCCATGCTTTGTAAGAACACTAGAAATTTCCACCCAAAAAAGTATAGCCTGAAATACCAACTACTATATGGGAACATTTTTCCCGCTCCACAGTCAATCTATGGAATACTCTCCCTGCTGCCACATTGGACCAGCCAAACATTGCTAAATTCAAAGCTGAGCTTGACCGTTTTTATTGACTTTATATTTTTTAATCGCTTTAGCTCTACTTCTGTGTATGTGTTTATTTCCCTGTGGGAATTAACCACTTAGACCTACCCTACCTAAAATAATAGTTAGTTACATCATAAATCACCTTATCTTTTCCTTGGGTTTTAGTTTTCTTCTCAGAAGGTTCCGCTGAAACTATACAGTCACTCTCCCCGGTTTTCCTTTTCTTTCCAACTTTGCAATCATCTGAATACAATATAAACGTCAGAGGCTGAGTCACAAAATGCAATGAATATGCCAAACTGTAAATTGGTGATGCGCGGGGATCGTTTAGCGCAGTGGAATCTTGAGTTGTCTTCACACATGACTGTTGAATCCGAGTTCTCTACCAACAAAACTGTGATCAATGATGTTTTGGAAGCTTGCGCTCCAAATTCCAAATTTTTCTCTTTCAAACCGTTTATCAAAGAAATTTTTCCCTTTCAAACAGTGGGTCCAGTATACTAACGTCCCTCTCAAGTATTTTCCTGCATGGTGATATTTCTGGTGCCTGTTATGCTTTTGGTTCCTCAGTCTAGTCCTGGTAAACTTGTGTCAGGAGCCCATAACCTGCTTGCGTTACTATTTTTCTCTCCTTTTCTGTTTTTCCCTCTTTGTTTCCTACTGTTCCTCCCTCCCCCGGGCTTTCAGAGGTTCCGCGAGACAAGCGTTTCTGGTAAAATTTTCTTTAATTTTGCTATTAAAATTCCGCCAACTGACACATCCTTATAACAGTTACTTAATATTTATTACATTAGTTATGCTTCCCTGTAGGTGTTGTGGTTTAATTCCTTAAAGTTATCTTTGGCTGAAATTTCCTTTTTGTTTGTTTTAGGGTATGGTAATTTTAGAATAATGAGTTTAAAAAAACGGAAAGTAAAATTCAAACCAAGGACAAAACTGAACCACAACATATACACTTTTTCCACTAAAATCCAAAATCATGACCTCACAAAATGGCTCTCACTGAACAGGAATCTGCACAGAAATTTTATGCCTCCCCAGTCTCTTTCAACTGTCAGAAAGGCGGCAATCCGAGGTCTACCAAATATGGTTATCATAAAGGTGAAAGATATTCACATAAATAAACACAAAAAAGATCATAGACGATCTTATTTTGCGTTTATTTCTTCACTATACATGTCTACCATAGGTATTGTCTCTTCTTAGGCAAAGTATGTACAAGTTCAATGTATTAATAAACATACCATTTTCTAGGCAAGACTGTTCTCCCTTTTCGACCTTAAGACCAGCAATATAATCCGATGGAACAACTGGAAAATACGCAGTAAGGAAATTTCACTTAAAGAAATTACAGTAACATAATGAGCAAGAAACTATTCTTGTATGAACAAATGCCAAATTAAATTACTTAGCGGTGCATAAAAGGAATGATCACCCTTTTACTGATAGATTGACGACTTATGCACAAAGGTCAACACAACAGGATTCATCTCTTATCAGAGATGTAACTATTCTCAGGTCTAGGTAATGAGAGATAGAGGTTAAAAGTTTAGTAGTTCTATAAACGGAGATAATATTTGGGGTATGGTGCAGAGGCAGAGGTCACAAACATACCAAAAACTGTAGTCAGGGCACATAGTGTTACAACTATGAAATACCCTCAACAGATCTGTATATGACTTTTTTGCATTTTCTTACCTAAGCCTGTGATATCAGTATATGCTTGAAAGAACCGCATTTTGTCTGCTGGATCTCGGATATAACTTGAAAAACCTGTTTTCAAAAACGAACGTTTCTCACTTTGTTATCAAGAGGATGGACAATAGCAAATTTTACAATAACTGAGCGAATCCTCCGGCGCTGATTGGTCGAGAGCAATGGTCTATGAGAGTATAGACCATGGAAATAACGTAACATGTCTCGCCCTGCCGGTTGTTTTGTTTATGGTTTTTCGCAAAAAAAAAAATGTTATTGTAAAAACCAAAATCGACCACAATTTTGCATGGTCTACACTCTTATAGACCATAGAAATGACGCCATAAAATGTTCAAAACTTTGCAGTGAAACCACTCGCCTGCGGCTCGTGGTTCCATTTGAGTTTTGAACATTTTATGATGTCATTTCTATGGTCTATAAGAGTGAAGACCATGGGAAATTGTGGTCGATTTGTTAAATGTAACTCTTAAATCACAACCAAAAAGTAAAGGAAGTATTGATTCTTCAAATTGCATTTCCAAGATCCCACAAGACAATGAACTAAGCATACCTAGGAATAACGGATACTGTTCTTCACTTCTTAAAAAGAGCTTCTTAAGGCCTTCTATTAAAGCACCTAATTCACGCCTCTGAAAAAAATAAGAACGTACAATAAACAACAATGAAAAGTTTATCCATCTTAACGGTAACCTTGTACATTAAAAAAAAATGACGATAGCGATCGCAAGGGAACAAACCTGTTTATAGTTAACTAAAATCTCTGAGAATCTTCTATAGTGGTCATCACCAAGGCTTTTCCTTACCTGCAAACACAGAACAGCACATTAACATCAGACATCGCAAATTAAGGATACAAGCTAATAAGAACGATGTCTTATCAAGCTCAGAAAATAACTCGACACGTTTGAGGAACAATACTGCCTAGCTAAACACAAAGGAGTTCCCTTGCAACTCCACCTAGACTTGCAGAAATGCAGTTAAAAGAAATTGAACAAAGTAAACGACGAAGAACACTATAATCTTTACTGTATGTGGTGGGGAGGTTTGTATGTGGTTACTGTCACTAAGGTTGATTTTTACCACCGCGTGACTTTTACGTGTGTATGTACGAAAATTTTACGCGACAGAGAGACTTCACCCACGTGCTTTTGGGCTTAAGTGCATTTTTATAGCGTTTGGCTTTCCAGTTGCCCTGCGAGCAGAGGTTTCTCTCTTTCATGACGCTTCTTTAATCTCCATCGCAGTTATTCCATATCACTTATTTTTTCATATGTATAGGAACTCTCCTAAGAGCCTTATATCCAAGTTCAGAAAGAGAAAGTAAATTTCTTCGTCGCTTGTTTAGGTCCTCCATAAAACGTGAAATTCCACCTCGTAGTCGTGAAGTGATGGCAAAGAAATGTACAAAAATGTGTGACACACGTGCAAAGTTGTTGCTTTGCTTACTAAACCTATTGCTTCTTTGACGTTCTCGTTGCCGTCGCCGTCGCCGTTGTCGGATCTTAAGGTCCCTATTAACGAGAGAAGCGCGGACAAGAGAAGTGCGAGGGATGATGGGAAGGTGGAAAGAGGAGAGTCTCTTCTTTTCCCCCTTTCATCTTCCCATCATCCCCTTCGCACCAGATGCCGTAATAGTCTCCCACGATCGTTCCGTGACCGCTTACAAATGATAAGAGACGACTGGGGACGAGTCAGTGGTCGGGTTGCAAGGATTGTCAGCCATGGATGCGGTATCTTTTAGGAATGGTTACCAACAGTGATAAACAAAATACATTTCGCTTTAAAAAAAATATTTTGTTTTTGCTATTTACCTTCATTACATACTCCTTAGCATCATTAAATTTCTGCAACTTAGATGACACCTCTTGATTCTCAGGCTGAAAGAAGAAAATTTAGCACGTAATGGTGATAAACACTACACAGAACTGGGTTAACTACCAAAATATCCTCTGGCAACTTTGCTCCTTGTATCATACCTTGTACATACAAATGTTATTTTCAAAGAAAGGAAAGCAGTAAGTTTGGATACCTGTTTTGATGTCGTTTCTTTGACTTTTACAACCTGAAAGTACCAAAATAGTATGAACAATGTCTGTAAAAACTTCATTCGATCTTTTATTAAACCTGTCGTCATGAAAAAACATCAGCTTCACCCCAGAAAGCTGCCCTTTGAAACCCTTGCTGTGGAGTATATCTTTGGAAAAGTTACGATCATTTTAAAAAGTTGATCTCTTTGAATACAGTTTACTGTTAGCTGTATTCTACCTTTAAAACTCTCTTAGGCTTTGGTTGAATATTTCCTTCCTTTCGTTTCATTATAGCTTCTGACAGGGTTGTTCCCTGTAAAAATGTGAGCATAAAAATAATTATTAGATGGAGAGCAATACACAGCATTATTTAGTTAAAATTCATTTAAAATTCAGTTTATCTGAAAAGTTCTCCCTTAGTGTTACGCCTTTATGTGGTTGGGAAATTTGGATGCTATACCAGTTGGGACCTTGGTCCCCGGTGGGTTTAAACGTGCTGGGCAGGTTTTGGGTGAAAGACCATAATGCAACACCTGGTCCTCCAGGTTGGGAGTTGGACGATGGGTTTATGTCCCATATCATGACTGAAACTAGACAACTTTTTCGAGACAGCAGTGGGAAGAATGAAGAGGCTACCCAGGTAACCACACTGATGACATTCACTTTGTAGAGACAGCTGAGGCGGGGTGGGGGTCGTGGGTTCAAGCAAGAGCGTGTGCGAGGGATAGGGCAGGTTGGCGGAGAGGTGTAGAGGCGTTATGCATATAACGGAGCGCGAAGAGGCGAGGTACGTCGATAGAGGGGCCGTGTCAAGGCAGTCCAGTTCATTGTTTAATTTTACCAATTACTCGGTTTTAAGCGGTTATGTTTATGTTTCTCTTAATTTAACGGGCATTTTGTAATTTCCTTATTCGGCTGAATTTCGTGACACAGCTCCCTTAATATGAAAAGTGATGTAAAAAGTACAACAAAATATTAAGCATCCTCTGACCTTCTGCTCGGGGCTTTTGTGATGTACATCCACTTCCAGAGCACTCTGGAATACCAAAATAACAATCTATCAAGTGAATGCATTAATAACAGGTCTCCAAAAAGTACTTATTGATATTACATGGCAAACATTTCCAATACATTAATTTTTACCTCTGAATTGGTTAAAGACTCAATCAAGCTGGCTTGTTTTGTAGTGTTAACCGCTTGCTTCATACCAGATGACTTGTAAACGTATTTGAGCTGGACAGACGAGACTGAAGCTAAAACATCACTCAAGATTAGAAACGGGAAGAATACGAATTTTGTATGGTCAATACAAAGGCCTTGTCAGAACGCAAAGAAGGCCAACTTTAACTCTCTCTAAGACGGATCTAGATAGACCACTTAAACTTGAAACTAATCTAACAAACTTAAAACAAAGTGGAAAAAACTGACTACCATTTCTGGAATTGACTAAAATATGAGGACAAGATTAGAAAAAAGGAGATACAAGAAAACCTAGTAACCGTTCAGGAAGTAGGAGGGTGTAAAGAAAAATGCCCAGCTTATGGCTGACTTACCGCAAATTAAACTCCGGGGACAATACCTGTTTGTTATATAGCGGGAAATTTTTCCCAAACAGCGCACGCTCTCGTTGGTCACTTCGAGGTCACATGATATCTAACAATGGAACTGTTTCCCGCCAAAATCTCTGAGCGGGCAACACTGTAAAATCTATGACGTCAGAGAGTAAAAGTGCACCGTTACCCGCGAATGTTGACCAACGCCGCCATTGCAGCAAGGTTTAATGAATATCCAGCTTCAAAATTTCCAGCCATATAACAAATCAGTTAAAGACTGGTCCGTCAGGAAAGTGTTAATTTTGTCTCAATCGAATTTCTCGGAAAACAAAATTAACTGTGTCCTGAGGGACCAGTCATTAAGTGTTAAATGCGAAAGCCTCTTTCCCTTACTTACGAGTACATAACAATAGCTTAGAAGAAACACTGTTACCGTTATTTTTTTTTACGATACATGGGGTTGGCTTTGGACTTGAAAATGTCACACATTTTTTGGAACATCTGACAGCATACTTAAACCCTTAAGTTTTAACGTTAATTTTCTCCTAATATTATCACTTTACGATCAAGATTAAAGGTTATGAGAGGTATTAACATGATCACCAAAGAGAGAATGGTTTGATCTTTAATCAAATTCTCTCAACTATTCTTTAAAGAAATGTAGAGGAATCAGTCTGGAGAATTTGTATGTGGATATTGTTGGCTTAAAGGGTTAAGAGAGGGGGGAGAGCGGACCTCTCGTCACAGGTTAGGTACACAAGACTAAAGCATAACATAGCAGTGTCTGCTACCCATAAATAAACAGAACTTGATTTGCTTCAAACAGACAAAATATTAAAGTCTTTAAAAACGTAGCAAATATATTGGTCAGTAAAACTTGAGTACCTTCTCGTAAGAAGTTTTCTGTCAATGAAGCAATTTCAACTGTTTTACTCCTCAAAGAAGACATTGTTTCGGGTTGAATGTTATGCAGTTCATTTTCAGCAGCTGAACAACCAGCAGATGGTAATGATCCCCCTGTCTTGTTTGCTTGACGTTTGATTCCTTTAACTTTTATTGAGGACTTATCTACCTGGAGGAGTATAAACATTGAGTGAAGTTTCATAGTCAGAAATAGACCTTCAAATAAAAGATATATATATTTATCAAGTATCAACAAAAAGTGATTCAGTGGCTTAAAACCCTTTATCAACCAAGCTTAAACACATATTTAGATTGGGTTGTCACTAAGCTTAACTTCTGTCGTAAAAATAGAATTAAAGTAAAAAAGACCAGTGCAAAGACTGATCAAACAACGTGAAAAAGGCTGAAGTATACAATATTTCGACTGGCCAAAACCAGTCTTCATCAGCTTTATTAGGAAAAACCACGATGACGTGGTAAGGTGTGACTGCTAAGAAAATAAACAAAAAAAAAGATAAAGATTACACAATGATTATTGTTCGTCACGTTTGTTCATTCTCAGATGCTCGATGGTTTTGGCTTTATGAATGAGGTGCGCCTCACACGTGCTTTCCTAAGACAATCGCTTTCATATCTAAGTGTTTCAATTGGGATAAGTAACATACGGGAAACAGAGTGGCTATTGCAGAGAAAGTGTTCTGAAACTGAGGTTTAAATGTAACTACCGGAGGGGCGTCTATGTTCATTAAAACAGTCCTTGAGGCGGCGTTTGGTTTCCCCAATATATTGCAAATTACAAAGGCGGCACTGAATCATGTAGATAACATTGAAAGTATTACAAGTAATGTGAGATTTGATTTTGTAGGTTTCACCCGTGGAGTAGAAAGTATAATTGACACGGTCGTGGTCAATATAGGGGCATGTGGTGCAGTTCCTGCTGTTACACCGTAAAGAACCGGGAGTGGCCCGGGCATTGTTACAATTATTAGTCTCTGGCAATTAGGCTGTAGCAAGAATATCGCTTAAAGTGTCAGAGCCTTGGTAAGCTACTATTGGAAGGTTTTTAAAAACATCTCTACAACGTTCTGAGAAGTAGAGGACATAGTTTAAGAAGGAGTATAAGAACCACATACCGTTTTATCAGCATTCCTAAAAAACTGTATAAGATCTCTCTGCACTAAACCAAACTCATTATAAACTTTTACATAGGGTCTGAGCCACGCAGGTAACTGATGAATTGCATCAGGATAGGTGAAACGCATGTCACACAGCAAAATAGCACCAAAATCCTGCTTGTGGCGGATCACACGTCCCACCGCTTGATTGACAGCTCTGGAAGCTTGCTGACGATACCACTGCCGACCACTTAAACCCTGTAAAAGAATGTTTTTCATTTGAGATATCTCCATTTCCAAAAAAAACTTGTTTTTTTTATAATAACAGAGTGACATTTTGCATGTTTATTGGTCCAGGACTGTGATTGATGAGAATATTTATAGACCAAGGAAATAACGTGATGGTGGCGCAATTTGTTTTGAAAATTCAGTGAAAATGGACGTCAAAAACTGTCAATGAGATTGTAAAAAACAAATCTTTACCACCTTTTTTGGGTCTATACTCTTAAAGAGCACAAAAATGACATCGAACATTTTAACATCATTTCTATGGTTGATGAGAGTGTAGACCATAGAAAATTGTTGTCGATTTGTTAAATAGAGTCAAACCCCTGCATAAAGGCCACCTTAAGACATGGGTAGAGAGCTTTTGTACAGAAGTCGAAACACGTTTCTCTGCCCGACAAACAAAATTAAGCTGTCCACTAAAAGAGACTGGAAGACTGGCAAACTTTGGCCAAGGCTTTTGCAACAAAGTAGTACCGTCTCTTTCCTTAGCAAAAGCAATACTAGTGGAACTTCAAGTGAAGCCCTGGGACCCAGTAACTTCTAATGGTACATTAACTAGTGTACTTCAAAAAGCACTAAAAATTAATTAATGTACCTGTGTGGAATGACCGACTTTCTTTATATTTTCATCCAGGAAACTCATCTTTAGCCTCACCTGAACAAAAGCAACACAGATTCCATAACTTTAAGAAAAACATATATTATGTACAGGGGAACCCAACGACAATTTTTGGAAACTAACTGTTCGGAACACTATTTGAGATCTAAAATTTTCGGAACATTTGTTGTAAAATTTCTTGCTTGCCTGCCACTCCTAGGATTTTCGGACATCTAAAAAATGGTATAATTGTCCATTTTTAACGGATCTTTACCCTAAAAGGGTCACCTAGAATTTTCGGGAGCCTTTTTTCTGGCTGAAATTTTCGAAAAGATAAGTTTTGATCCCTATAACTTTCGCATCACTAGACTTTCAGCTAGGAAATCCGAACAGATGGGAAATTTTTAGGGGATAAAAATATGCCTATATCTACCGTTTAAATACTAAGATAAGTTCAACAATGCTATGTTTAAGTGGTTTTGAACTATATTCTCTTTGGGTGCCCCTGTATGTATATATATGTTACTTGTACTTAATAATAATTTTCCATTCTTGTAAAATGTATATAATACACTCTTGATGTTAACAGTAAGTGCTTAGGTGTACATAACAAATACCTTCCCTTTGCTTCCCATTGGAGTAGCATAAGGGAGTTAAAGTAAAATCTGTATTCAAGTTAAGGGTTTCATCAGGCCAAAGTTCATCCTAGTTTTCATACCATGAAGCAGCTAGGGATAGTCGGTTGTACTCCTTGATGGGATCCTTGTCCATTGGTTATTTACCTCAAACATCAAAATTGCTGGAAGGCTACACATTTATTCACTTAGTTGGAGTCATGAGGGGGCACTGTGAGAGTAAACAGTCTTCACCAGAACAGAACACATTAACCCTGTCAAGGACTCACCAGTAGCCCCTACCCCCACACCCTCTTGAACTGGGGTCTAAAACATTAACCTTTAGCCCACAGAAATATTGAGAAGCAGCATTGCTTAGTCTTACCCCTCTGAACTTTATTCTTTGTCTACATAATCACTGCTTTACCTTGGCATCCATTTTTGGTGGGAAAGGAAGACCCGTTATCACCACTGCACGTCCATTTATATCTGCAAAGTCTAGTCCTTCACTAACCTACACAAATGTAAAAAATAAGTATGTCATAAAATAAGAGCCTTTAAGAAAGTCATGCAGTCAATCATCAACAAAAAAAAGTGTAATAAAATAAGTGAAGCTTATATAAATTAATAGTACTCTACCTTGCCTCTACAAACAGCAAAAAAAGTTGCACCATTGTGGTTGGGATCATTAATCTTTTCATAAAACTGCTCCATAGTCTGAGTAACACAAATTAAATACCGAAAAAATTATCAGTAAACAAAATAAAAGTTCTCCCCTCAAAGATGAATTTAAAGTTAAAAATTTCTCTTGGATGCTTAAGAAATATCAAAAGGGGCAACAGCCAGTTAACAGACTACAAAGGTTTGCTGGTACATCCAGCATGCATGACAGATGCCTTGACAATTTGAGTCCTGAAAAGAATGAAAGCTTAAAGTTTTGAGCTCTATGATCATTGAGGAATAGAAATTCTTCTCTAAAAAGAAAAGAGCAAGTGCCCAAGGCTATATTCTCTCCATCGCCCTCTATTTTTTCTTTAGAGATCATCGAGCCTCCTTGCTTATTTAAAAATCAAACTAGATTTTTTTAATTGCTAACGCAAAGGGGTGGCCTGGGGATGGGTCAATGAGAAAAACGTTTTCTTTTCTTCCTGTGCTTAGCACTCGTGATCACTGCCACACACTTGTTAAATTCCTTGGGAAAAAAAAGAAAAACATCTAGGAGACAGACTACCCAGGGCACTTGTAGAAAATTCTAGGGAGAGATGGGGGAGACGATTGTTTGAAGGGGACAGAGATGGCATCTGAAGAAAAAATCATTTGCTGTCTCTAAACTGTAAGAAGTTATGTAGGAACCTAAACTTTGGCATGGAGTGAACTAACAGTTAAATGACACTAACCTCAACAAACTCTCCTTTGCCTCTTGGTTCAGCAAAAATTGGTTTATGCTGCTCCAGTCTTGACCACGTTCCAGATCCCTACCAGAAAAACAGTACTTTATCACCCATTTCCATCAAGAAAAATCTCACATTAAATGCTTGACTGTGCAAAATGTTTTTACCTGCCAGTGTTCCAAACACTTGTTCATAACAGGATAAGAAGGGAAGAACACCAAAAGTCCATTTGGTACAGTCCTGGCAAAATTAACTGATTCAAACTTAAAGTCAGAACATTGTTAGAACAAATTTGAGCAGGACTATACGTGGAGACAACAGGTAACTATTAATACTTTACTACCTTAATTTTAACATCTCTTAATATGCATTTCGAGGTTTTATTCCACTGATGATACTAGATAGCTGTTAGTAGCCTGTTCCAGGTGTTCATAGAGTAGGAGAGCGCAGCAGTAAGTGGGCAGCGAGTTAAGTTGTACACCAGGAAAACGTTTTTTTTTTTCCTTCGTGAATTTCTCCCGCACTCTACTATCTGAATGCCTGGAACAGGCTACGCTGTTACTAATTTAGAATTATTAAACTCACCCATTGCATTTCCCAATCCTGTCATGTATTCTGTTGTAAACCTAAACAGGAAATTCATAGGAGTTGTACTCAGGGAATGAAATGAAGAATATATTTTTTGTCTCTGAAGTTCCCTTTAAAAGAAGGGGATTTCTTGGAAGAGTTGGCCTTAGCTTAAGCTGTCAAATAATTTTGTACCATTATCCACACAGGGGCACTTGAACTAACCCAATATTATGATGAGTGAATATGAGTATTGTGATTTGCTTATTCTTATGCTTCTGCTTACAGCTCCAGTAATCTGGTTTTCACTCAATCATAACACAGCAGAGTTGAAAATATGGACAGGCTTTGATTCTTGCAACTCTGATTCCTTAAAGCTCATGACTCAGCTTACGACACCTGTAATATCGATATTGACTAGGTCATAAGTGCTCTGGTGACTCCAATAATCTAAGTGTAACTCAAGTGAAACACAGTTTTACTCCAAAAACTTTCATAAAACTGTATAGATTCAATGCAGTCACTTATTGAGACACAGTATTTCTAAGGAGGGGGGCGTAAGGGTTTGTGGTGATGCGGTTTTGCGGGCATTGTTATTTTAATTTGCGGTATTGTGGCTTTACAAAATCAAGCAGTTTGCGGTATTCAGAAATTTTTGGGTAATTTCAATGCCATTTGCAGTTTCCTTAATGTTATTCTGTGCGGTGTTTATTCATATATCTGTGCAGTTTTGCGGTGTTGGTATCCCCCTTATGCCCTCCTCACTAAGCTCACCTCGTTTCATAGGATGAATTTAAGTTGGCCCCATCAGGTGATTTAGTGACCACACCCACCATCATCTGATGTCGTTCAATCACATGAGGGTTTTCAAGTTGAACAGGGAAAGAACTGAAAGGACAAAAAGACGACAACAACAATTTCATGACTTGTCTATATCACTTAGGGAAGTGAGAATCCAAACAGTGAAAAACATAACTGACAGAACTGGAAAGCACTTCATTTGCTTTCCATTCTGTATACTGTATCTCCTCTAGTATCTGACAAGGAAGCACTTGCACAATCATCTTACATTTGCATCTCAGTTTTAAAGGAAGTCAAAGGTGACAGAGTTCCACTTGTCAGTACAATTGAGCGCAGTCCATGGGAGGCCAGATCTTTCATGGCATGCCCTGGGCTGAAGCACCAATAGCTTAATGTTCGACCTACACATCAAATGAGACAAATTGAAACTGTTACCTTGCTGTTGAATAATAAAATTTATGCATTTAAATGCAGTTTCGAGAAGCTAACAACAAAGAGCACCATAAGTGCAAGTCAGCAATGATTATCTGTAGGTGGCACACACTTTGTAGTTACCTACATTGCTGATGTGACATATATTTCAGGCATGTCTGCATCTTAGCGCGACTCCTTCTGTCTGCTTGACTGTGTGTCTGTGTGTCATGTCTGCCTGTTTGCATGTCAGAATGTCTGTGAGTGTGCATCTCTGCATGACTGCCGGGTTGCGCTGGGGGGGGTTCCAGGGGTGGTTTGCATTGAGTGGTTAGTGTCAACCCCCCAAAACCGAAATGAAAATGTTTCAACACACATGAGCTGTTTCTGACGAAAAACTTTGGTGGACATAAATCGCTAACAAACACTTTAAAAAAATTATGTTATCTTTTGAAAAATGACTGTGATGAAAAGAAAAAAAACATAGATGGAAGAGAGTCTTTTCCTGGTTTTAAATGCCCTGTTGATTCCATTTTTGAAGAAATTAAAGAGAGATTTTTAGAGCGTATACAAATTTACAACTGTTATTTCAAATTTATTTTCGATATTGGTCTCAATTATTGTAAATTTTTAAGAGCCTTCCATGTTTAAAATAGCTAATTAAAAAAGAGGTTGTTTCAAAGACATGTGACAGCCTACAATTATTCTTTTAAAATGCTGGAGATCACCTTTCCGAGGGTCTAAATTTTAAAATTTTGCATGGGACCATGCCCAGGACCCTCCTAGGATGGTCCACCTTAAGTGGACACTTATCTGAACCCCCGTTCACTAAATCCTGGATCTACCCCAGCTGTGTCTGCATGTTGACATGTCTGCCTGACTACTTGTGTGCCTGTCCACACATCAGAATGTCTGCATGTCTGTGTGTGAATGAATGCATGTCTGCATATTTGCATTTTTGCAGGTCTATCTCTGTATCCGCATGTCTGCATACATTTACATGTCTCTTATGTGTTTGCGTGCATGAAAAAGGGTGTTATGTCTGCATGTTTGTGTGAGTGGCAGACTGGGAAAAAAAATGCACTGTGGGTTGGGGCTAGTGATGGAGGTTTGACATGTTGCACTACCTTGCTTGCTGATCTTTGATCCTGTTGTCCACACATCAAGGTTCTTCTTTTTCTTATTACTATCTGGCTCAAGTTGGATATGAACCTTGGGCAAAAGACGGAAAATTATCACTTACAAGAAAAGCTCAAGTAACAGAGGTTTTATAACCAAATAGAAAATATACAATCTTAAAAGGAATATACTAAGGCTCTGTTAATTCTTATCTTGAGAGCTGTATTAACACACTATGAGTTAGGCCTTTTGGAACCTGGATCGCTGGGACACAGTGGGGAAGTTAACCTTTTATGCTGAATTGAATCAATGAAATTTAACTACTATACCTTGAAAAATAATGATGGATCTGCACTTGCTGAATGTTGTAAAGAATCTTTACTAAAAACAATCTGAAATAAAAATAAAGCAAAGTAAAACAATGGCAAGCTGCAGGTAACATAAAGGGTCTTCTTCTCATCTGAGGATCTAGATGGGAAGGTTCTTTATCCCACATTAAACATAACACAATAATAATTATTATTTAATCATTAAATAAATTTAATGTACAATTATTGTACATTAAATTTATTTACCTCATGATTTTAACGAGTGCTGAGTCAGTAGACAGAATCTTGTGATGGGGTGTAAGATGTGCTACCACTAAATCATTATTTATTGATTTAATCAAGAAAGATATTTTTGGCAGTGCTGTTAATTTCTAAAAGTAACAAAACTAGTTTTTAGATTTTTAACCAAGGTGCAACAAGGCACACTGTCATAATCTCAACTTCTGGGTCAAACACTCCGATGGGTATGACAGGATTGAGCAACTCCTTCTTCACTAATAGAATAAGCAGTGTTTATGAGGGTTGCCTAATAAACATGTCAGTGAGGAGGGGCAAAAGGAAAGGATTCACATTTGAGTTGGAAAAATGGATTGGATTTAAAACCCAGTTTTTCTTTTTCACAGAGTAGAGTACTCATGACTATCTAGTTGCAGTAACATACCTGCAAAGCATCAGAAAACTTCTGTAAAGCAAAATGTTTCCCTTTGAACTTCCTTGTATCTAGGTAGTGAAAAACACAACAGACTTACCAAAGTCAGGCAGGAAGAGAAAATATAAACCCATTCATAGAAAAACTTAGACTAATGCAAATCACTGTAGGTAGGGTGAGATGAAAATTCAAAAAACTTTTTTGTCAATCAGGCAAGCTGTTGCTGAAGTTTACTCGCCTGGAGCAGTTGTCCAGGCCAACCAACTCCTCTTCTCCACTAACATACTTTATCATGGGAAATGTTGCTAGCTCATCAGACAATAAAATACAACAAACTAGCCCAACAGATTGTGCCACAATAATAGCCCTAGGCTACTGAACAGAGTTTTTGTCGTGCCCTGTCTTGCAAAGAACACAGATTTACACATAAACACACAATTTAAGACTTGTAAAAAAAAAACAAAAAAAAAACAAGGCCATTCCCTATTCCAGCCCCTTTACTATTATTTACTTTTTGTATCTCTCTCACCTCCAATCAACAAAGAATTACACTTATCCAAAACCTCCAGGACTTGATCTTTTGAGGAAGAGGTTATGTTAATTTTGGACAGTAGCTCAAACATAAACCTGTGAAGGAGAGGGAGATATTAGAAAAAAGCATGGACACTCAGCCAACCCTTTATATAATCATATATAATTTTTTTTTCAAAAATAAGTTTACTTTTATCAGCTTTACTGGACACAGGTCTACCCAGTGGGGTGTGGCACAAATGATACTCACATCCTAAGCCAGGTATCCTCCTCTACCCATACCCACAACCAATGACAGATAGACACAAGGGTGGTCCCTGCTAGAAATGGTTATCTCCTCATTAGTTCTTTTACTTCCCACAAAAGGCAATTCAGAGAAGTATTGTGAGGTGGGACTGATAGTTTCATATCCTCATCCAATGGGAATAGACTGACCCTGTGCAGATATGAACAAAGTGAGGGAGCAGCACGTTCTACTCAAATATTTTGTGGTCCCAAATTCTGTTCTGACTAGTGATCAAAATGGGTCTGTTGTTAAAAAGTCTAATGCCAAAGCTTAAACAATTTTAAAAGCTAACCAGTCAGTAGTAATTTGCCTGAATGTAAAAAATGGAATCATTTTCCTTGCAAGATTTAACAAGCTACCTACCATAAACTAAAAAAAAACATATGGAGGGCTTTGCAACAATAATAAGTGATGAAGTAACAAAACACCACAAAAATCAAACCTGCCAGGCTTTGTTAACCCATCACCATTTTTTGGCAGCTCCTGTGCATCAATCAAACGCTCAAGTTCAATAAACAGAGCTGCAGAAAAAAAAAAAAACAGCACTGTAGTTTGTTTTTCTAATACAAATTTTTGAAATACAAAGTACTTTTTTGTTAGTGTGAAAAAAGTTACAAAACATGAAAAAGTGTATATAAGCCCATTTTACATTCAATCATAAACTGAGGGTTTTTAATAGGGGTTTTATTACGGTATCACCATACTCAAACCTCTAATTAAGTGATCAATATTACAGAAATACCAATCAAATGTCTCTTACATTTAAGGCGGGCAAGGTCTTCCTTGCTAACATCCACATCACCTTTTTCAGTCAAAAACAAAAAGGAAAGTCAATAAGTGCATGTTCAATATGATTGACTTTGGCATAGAAAAACATTATCCTAATACAGACTGGAATAAACACTTTTTTAGAATAAAACCTTGACCTTAATTTTTTATCTCAGTTAATTTTCATTTTCCTGTTGTCTTGGGTATGGTAATGTATGCATTTGAAACAAAAGAAAAATAAAAATTTACTGAATAACAAAATAAACAGCAACATATATGTCACTGTAACTGACGATAAAACATTACTTTTTACAACTAAAATTGTGTGTCCAAGTCTTCACATGACATTCACACCACTGCACTGGTTGAGAGTCTCTTAGTTATCTTCAAAGATTATAGTGACGTTAAATCATGTACCACGAGAAAGGAGTGTGTATGTGTGGTGACTCAGTAAATTTAAAGAAAAGTGAGTGCATGAGTTCTTTGACATTCTTTAAGAAGTAAGCCTTTTTAAGAAGTATACTTAACCTCCTAATGCCACCCCTGCTCCACCCTACATGACTGTATGCTCTCTTTTAAACTAGACTGCAAGAGTACATTACCTGTTCCTTCATCAACATCCAATTCGTTATGCTCACGACATTCAACAAACTCAATGCACTGTGCTACATCTTCTATACAAGATGCAATATCAAAGGAAGTTAAATCAAAGGAGGCTGTCTCTTCACACATCTTTTCCTGAAAGGACAAAAAATACATTAGCTAACTGTTAGTTTCATTTTCAACTCCCTTCAGTGCTGTCTAGCCAATCTGCCTGAAGTAAAACCAAAGCTCAAAGGAGTTTAATAATACAAAGAAATAATGGCCACCAGGGGTAAAAGTCGTAATAGCTTTAACAGGTGCACATGTTTTGATCCCAAAGATAAAAAAAATTCTGAATTTGCCCATGTCCTGAATTTCAAAGCTCCAAAGTTTTGGGCTACCTATAATTATTTTTCCAAGAGCATAAATTTATTATAGTCCTCCAACAACGGATCCAGTCCATAAATGCTTAGACAACATTGCAAAATCTATTACATCATGATCACCACTAACAGTGCAAAATCCATAAAAGTCAACAGTGACTTTGTTTCCTACTAATTAAAAGGAGAAACGCTGCACATCAGCTCTTACAACCTTTCCATTTCTAACACGAGTTTCTCAGGGTGATCAGTTTACTTACACCACAAAAAACCTTACTGTTTACTGGTAAAACAAAGATGGTTTTAGAGTCTTCCTACACACTTGTCCCCTAACCAAAATCACTTGTCTGGGACACATTTTTTTTTGTGTGTGTATGGACCATGCTGGTAAAATTATTTTAACTTCCATCAGCATTTTCTTACCAAGTTATGAGCCTCGTCAAAAAGAATGATACTGCCTGATATGTCTACATTATTTGCCTTTCTTGACTGATGAAATAAAAGAAAATTAAACACTAAACATGTGAGCAATCATATAACTTGAATACTTCCCGTGTCCTCCTCTTTTTTTAAACCAAAAATGCCATGGTATACTATACTAATTTGCAGTGAACAATACACTGGCACTAAATGGAAAACGCTTTCTGTGTATGTAGTATCAGGGGCAATTAAAGTTAAATGCAGGACAAGTATTTCAAGTCACACTTTTTAAGCAAACTGTGAGAAGAAGCTTGACCCTTTTACTCTTAGAGAAAGTTGAGTCATGGCAGGACAATAATTTTTTGTCACTCTAACTAATCTAAACTGACTTGGACAAAATCCTATGCCATTCTGGCACTAATCTGTGCATGGGCAAAATCTACATGGTGTTGGCACATCGTATGTGGGTTGAGTTTGTTGTTGGTTCTCACCCTTGCTATGAAAAGTTTTTTTCCAGGTCAAAAACCAACACTTTATAACTTCAATTTGATGTGAAATGGGTAACAAGGAACTAAACTGTGGGCAAGCCACTACTTACAGTGTAATTATCACTTGTTCATTTCATTTTTTTCAATTTATTCACTGCAGTTGGTTTTCCACATATTTAAAGATGCTCCCCACTACTCCCCTTATACAACACCTGTTCAAAGGGTTTAAAATATATAGATGTCATAAAAAAGATTACTATAAACCGACTTTTACATCCAAGAGGTAGTTGTATGGCATAAATATTATGTCTGCACCAGTCTTTAGTTCTCTTGCCATGTAATAAGGACACACCCTAAAAAACCGAAGATCAAGAAAGATTAAGTGACCTTATCTGGATATTGAAAGCACTGAATCAGCTTACAACTTGAGCAGTTGAATTTCTGCATTAGAATATGAAGTGAATTAACTGTATTGTGGCACCAAATTCAATATTGAAACTCATATTAACATCAGACTTTCAGTGAAAACTCAAAAAACCCATGGCAGTGTCTTCCCTTCTCACTTGTTATATTACCAAGATGGGGTACCAAACTATGATTGCTGACACTTGGCACTCAATTAGTTTTATGTGAGGAACGGTCATGTCACTTTTTAAAGATTTTGTACAAACTCTTAAAGCAAAAAGTATGACTGAGGCATTTACCTGTGCTTTTGTCCAAGCTCTGTCAGATCTTCAATATCAAGAATACTTTGAGTAAAATCTTTGTTTGCTTTGTTTGCTGCAGAATAGAAGATACCAAAGCATTAAACTAGCCTGCAAACTGCCATCCTTTGTAAGATACAGTACTGTGGTCAAAATAAAGGTCAGAATTAATCTCCAGTTAAGGAGGCAAAAGTGGACTTCAGTTTACTTAGCATAAAGGATGGAGCAATTCAGTAGAATAAAAAGTTCTTACACCATTGTAGATGACTGGTTGAAAAGAAACCATACCTTCCAGGTTGCTGTAAAAATGACAATTTCTTGCTTGAACTTTTGCTCTGCAAAAGTGCACCTATTATTGGAGACAAGACAATAACATTAATTTTGGCATACAATAGAGTCCAAAATAATCACAGTTTTAATTTACAGTAAGGTTCAGAGGTTTGCTAGTACATTTTTGCCTACATTTTCTTGGAAATCAAATAGAGAATTTGAAAATTCGGGGTTCTGCCATACACTTCTTGAATTTGAATTAGAAGAGAAAGGACAAATATTAACATCTCTCCTGTTCATTTGCAACCCCAAGGCGCAACAAATGTGCTGTTGGATAGCCATGGCTATTGGAACAACCCATCGTGATAGCATGTTTTAATGATGAGTAGTCTGATGGGGAAGCAGTATTTGCCGTTTTAAAGTATGTTTAGGTGGCTCCGTAATTAATACTAGAGCATTTTGCTGTGACAAATTTTCCGTCATAACTTTTTGGTTCTTAACGCGATGGCTGCGAAACTTTGCAAAGAACAACAGATACAATTCGGCAATAATACGAAATATTCCGATTTCATTGATGGTAAATATTTCTTGAGAAATTAGCGCTTAAAAGGACCCTAATGTTCCAAGGAAATCGCGTCTAGTAAAAAATTTTGCAGATATTTTTTACTGAAATTTCTGGAATCGGCTTTAATTGATAATAAATATGCTAGAGGAATTTCAGAAAAATCGCTGGAGCAGAAGTCCGTGACTAAAAGTCGCTCAAAATTCAGCTGTGAAATTGTTTTGGAATTTCAAAAATAAATTACTATCAGGAAGAAGGAGCCACCAGTTTGAATTTTCGGGACAAGTAAATTCAACGTTTGCTAATTCTGAAAACAAAAGCCGATTACCTATCGTGCTATTCTTTAAAAGGTACTTTTTAGTTTTAGAAGCACCATAAATTGCTCCAAACCTTGCTCTGACGTCGAATGACTTGTTCCTCGACATTCTTAAAATATCCCTTGGCAGTTTTGGTTCAAACTCCTGCTACATACATTTTGATGTATTGCAATGCATCCTCAACGGCTTTTCCTGCTGTACGTTGTTTCCAACTCAGGAAAAAGGTATTGGGATTGTAAGCTACCTTGTATCGAAGCTCAGATAGTCAGTTTCGCAGCCATCGCGTTAAAATCGAAAAAGTTATGATGGAAAATTTGTCTCAGCTAAATGCTCTTGTATTAATTACGGAGCCACCTTAATGAAAAGAAGGTTGGTAGGCCTGCAAGACTGTGCCTAAGTACACAACACCTTGCCCAAAAGAAAGAGCAATTTTTATTGTTGTTGTTTTTAATTTTAATCTTACCCTTGATCAACCCTGAACAGTGTGCAAAGAAAGTAGTGTCTGATAGCCCAGGGCTAGTGGATTTTGCTATTGGGCTAGTAAATTCTGTTTTTAACTTGCCCAACGGGCAAGTGATCTCTTTTTTTGAGGAATTCTAACAACAGAAGAACTATGAAATCAATTCTGCTAGTCAAAAAGGTTTTGGGGCTAGTTGAAATGACATCTAGGCTAGTAAATGCTAGCCTCAGCTTGTCCGAATGGCAAGCCGTAAAAATGATTTTCTTTGCACCCGGCTGAAGATAACTTTTTTCCAGGTTGAAAGGAACTTTGCTCACCACAAAAATCAAACTTAACAATTTCAAGGAGCTTAATGTTTATTTTCCATTGAGTTATGTTGTTCAAAGACAGAGATCTCTTAGCTCACCTTGCCTGAATTGGTTTCTTGCTTTAACACTTCATTATTGATGCAAAGCTGTTCACGAGAACCAATGATGCTAACTTTGGGTCTGCAAATAAGGTGAGAAATAAACTGAGAAGACACAATAAACTGAGAACAGGTTAAGAAAAAATATTGAGTCACCCAAAAGTGAACCGTACAAACTCAGCCCAATACTTTTCTTGATTCACTCACATGTTCATAGTTTTAAAACTCAAATGCAATCATCCCATTTTATACCGTCACAACAAGGTAGAGCAAATTTATTTGTTTTTGTTTTTTCTTTGGCTAATGACATACAGTAGCTGCTTTCAGATCTACATAACTATAACTCTTTGGAATGATAGATAAAGGATAGTAGCAAGGTTGTACCTGTAAATAGTGTTCTTCAGTTCCTGTACAGCTTGTGATAGCTGAGAGTGTGTTCTAGATGCATACAGAACTCTTGGGGGCTCAAAAAAGGAAGCTGTAATTTAATGATAATAGACAATTGTCTTTGTCACTTTAAACTTCCCAACCATGAAAATCTCACAAAAACTACATGCAGTGCCACATCAAACATTAAGAATTCAATGACAGGAATTCAGAAGACATAAAAAAAGACTGAAGAGAAAAATAGCAAGAGCAGATAGAGAGCTTTGACCTGGAAAACTAACAACCAAGAAAATTGTTCCTGACATCCCCCTATTTGCATGGTCATAATAAATACCCAGTATCTGGAAAAAAGGATGTTTCAGGAGGATCCAGTATGAAGGAGGGGAAGCTAGGGTGAGTTCACAATCATTGCAAGTATACTTTGACTTATATACAATGGCAAAACTTTTTCAGTAATCAAGTATAAAAGAAGGTAAAGGTAAAAAATGCTTATTTTACATTGGCAGCTCAAAATAGTCATCTGACTAACAAACCTTAGTCTGACAGCGTGCTCATTTTACCCCCCACCCTCCACAATGACTCTGTTTTACAGGTATGAATAAAGCTACTTAAAGCTACATGGAAAAGAAAGAAGTCAAAGGAAAGATTTGATGCCACACCTGGGAACTGAGCTCAGGACTTCCTGCACAGAAGCCCATGCACTAACCGGACGCATGCTAATCATTCTCCCTCAATCTAAAGTGCTTTATTGGTTATCGGTTAATAACGGCTGTGATTAACCTGCTAACCTTTATCATTGCCATCCTGTGCACTCCAAGAGTCTCCGTTGGCAGCCTGCTGTAACTCTGCACCCAGTTTCTCCACATAATTAGATCCACCTTGATCAGCACTTAGCCTTTGATTAAGCTGTAGCTTAGCTACATAGGCTTCACGCCAAGCCAATGTTGCACACAACAGACACAGTGTCTTGCCAGTACCGGTAGGACTCTCAAGAATTCCATTCTTTTTCTGGAGGAATTAAAATTGTCTGTTACAGAGAGCAGATCATCATCTGATAACCTCTTCTAACCATGTGGATACTAGGATAAAGCCCAACTGTAGTTGGCTGGCAAGTTATTTTTACCCTTTCAGATAATTAATGACTGGTATATAAAGATATAGATAGTGCATAACTGCATGGGTACATAAACACTTTACATCAGTTATCAGAGGAAAATCTTTCAAGGAAAAATCACAAGAGTCCCTGGAAGGCATCATCAAAACCTAGAACAGACTGGACTGGATTAACCCCTGCAACTCACTAAACAGGGTTCTCAATAGAATTTTGTAGAGCCCTTGCAGTGCTATTAACAGGCATAGCACATGGCATGCTCCCAATGAAAATTTTGATGAAAGATGCTCAGTTAGTGACCTTTTGCTTTGCAGCAACTATGTTTTTGCCTGCAGTTTTTGCACATGAAAAGATGACATCTGCGAGAGGCCTGGGCTCAAATTCACAACTTCAATATGGCAGCCATATTTCAATGTATGTTGCATAGTAGCCTGTGTATATATGAAAAAAAGATAAGCAAACAAACCAAAACAACAGCGGGAAATAAAAAAGAAGAAAGAAAAAAGAAAAGGGTTATTAACTAGGAATTGAGACTCTCACATCCTGTTTGGCAAGACTTTTCCTTACCACTACACTACTGAGGATAAATAGATAAGTGAGAAGAAAGGTATTTGATTTAAAGCCTTTTCCATGGAACTTCTATCAGACCAGCAAATGGCATTTAAAGCTGTTTGAGCCATATTAAACACAAATTCAAAGATATATTTCAGGAAAAAAAACCGGGCTATAAGCTATAAAAAACCAAATTCAAAATCATCTCATTGCACTGAAAGAATACATGCCCAACAAAGCTGATACAACTTGTCTGCAAAGTAGGGCACAAAACATATGTTTTTGTACCACAATTTTCACTGTTATTTTGAAGCTAATGGTCCAAATCACGTCCACTTTCTGTTAGAGGTACTTCTACCCAGTGCGAAAAGACTTTCTTGACCTATTAAATGGCTGCTAAAAGAACTGGGCCAGGTTTGTGGCAGTTTTGTTTACATCATGCCATGTTGCTAGGCAACTGCATTCACTTAAACCAATAGAAAGCAAGAGGCAATCCTTGTGCACGTTGCGGGTGACAAGTTTACCTAAACCTTTGCTCTGCTTGGGCCTAAACAGCTCTCGCTTCTGTACCCGCCTCTGAGATAGTCCGGTCCGCATATTTGAGAAAGCATGAACATGAACATAAAGCGGAAGGAAACTATTTCCTTTTTGCCGCCACTGCCTCTTTCGCGTGCCTTTTACTTTTGCGTCTTCCCCACTATCTGAGAGCCTGGAACAGGTTATCGCTTCGTAAAGAATAAACTTCTGTGAAAATAGTATGGAATAGTACGAAATTACTGCTTTCATAACAAGCGTGGGGGTTTTTACGGAAATCTTTCTAAATTCTTAGTATTAAAATCGTTCTCTTTGCCTGGGTGCTGAAAGCAACCTCAGCTGAAATATAAGCTCATCCTCGGTATAAGAACCTGTGAAACTCACGATGTAACGTAAAGCAAAGGAAAAAAAGAAGTCAACACAATAAAACCTAGGAAAACAAAAGGTGCAAAAGAAAGAAAAAGTTCACAGGTTCTTACACCGAGGTAAACGCGAAAAATACACCTCACCTCTTGAAGGCATTGTATCACTTTTTCCATGTAAGAAACTTGGCAGTCGTATGGTGTGAAAGGAAACTCAATGCTAACACCTCTTATATGTATCTGCACCATGTTTTTTCCGCAAAAACTCTAATTTTTAAACTTGAAACGCACAAAAATGTAACAACAAAATTCGCGCCAAAGATCGCGCCATATTGTTTTTCAAGTGACGAAGGAACCAGGCCTTCAAGCTCTTAGTACCCAGGTTACCGCTCCTGACGTCACCGGAAAACTCTGACCGGTTTGTAGGGGATGAGGTCACAAAACAGCAATAAAAAACATCAGAATTTCTTACATTGTCACCTTGATAAATTTATGGTGTTTTCTTAGCAGTTTTGGCCGTTTCAGCTCGATTCCAGCGAGTTTTAGTTCTGCCGTAATTCATATGCTCACAGAGAATGAACCCCGGCATTACCTGCCGTATGACCGGTGAAGCTGGTTTGGCGTGTTATATAAGTCTTTTCTCCGAATGCATCGTGAACTGCATCCAAACAAACTCGCCAAATCAATACAAGGGGTCAGTACAAGGTAAGTTCTTTATCTCTCAGAGTGTCCAGAGTGTTGTGTAAATACATCTTAAAGACCTTATTCACAGCATCTTTAGTGAACATAAAGAAAAGGACGATTTCTCTCAGGGATCAGGGTACTGGCCCGGTTCAAACGTCGAACTTTACATGTGCCGAACCTAATATCTATTTAAGTCGACTCAAACTATTAAGTTCGACTGTTGATTCAGACGGTCGAACTGTACTTGTGCCGAACCTAATACGTGGTGAAAGGAAACATCATCCTTACTGCCTAAAATAGGGAAGTAAACTGGAAAAAAGTAAAATTCACCAAGCCTGGAAATTCTTGTTTTGATTTTAGTGTGACTTGTGTTCTGTTATTGCAAGGAGACAGCTGAGGAGATCGTGATCGTGATATTTGGACAAAAAAAATTTTATTTTGGAAAATAAAGTGACGCCATAAATGTTAAAATACAGTACGATTTCTTTATGGATCAAGAAAAGCAACTTTTTAGAAGACCGTTTTAAGCTGTTCGGTTTCAGCCTAAAAATCTACAACGTGAATGCTGGTAACCGTCGTTATGCTTCTGTTAACCTGAGATCAGGCCATTTTTTGTTTTTTTTGCTTCCTTGCTTCTTTGGCCGATTACAGAGCATGATCGCAGGCTACGCTTCTGTGAGTTCTGCCCGCACAGGCCCGAAATTCCACCAAATAGCCAATCAGAAGCGCGATTATATTGAAAAATACGTTAACATAATTTATGCATTAGGTTCGGCAAGTGTGAAGTTCGACGTATGAATCGAAGTCGATCTTTTGCCGTTCTATTCCCGGGGTTCTATTCGACAAGCTGGTTTGTAAGCCTTACGTGAGTGGCCATCCTCACGCGTTGAAATGGAAGCACACACAACACATGTGGCACTGTTCCTTTTTCACGAGAAAAAAAAAGGAAATAAACTCTCGCATTCTAGCAGGAAGTTCGCCTTTAGTGAATCGTTCGCGTCAATTGTCTCCCTGAGCGTATAAAACAAACCAACTACGCGACTGACAAGCGACGCGTACGACTTCGTATAAAAACGGTAAACCATGCAAGAGAGAAACCTCTGCAGGGTATAACATACGTGCCAACTCTCCCGTATTATCCGGGAGTCTCCCAGATACGACGCCAACCTCCCGGTCTCCCGTACGGGTAACCATATCTCCCGGATAAAATCATCTTTTGAGTTTTTCTGTGCCTTAGTTTGAGATTTAGCCCATTTTTGCTCAAAACATGAATTTTTCTTACTCGTAGTACGGTTTCTGGGGCATTTTTGCACATATTTAGTCACTGACAAAGATTATTTCTGGCATCAACGATGATCGCGAATTTTGATGGTATTTACTTCACGTGAGACTTCACATAATGTTACGGAAAGCCATAACTTTCTTATGTGGTTATTTATCATTACGTGGTGTGGTTTCTTCATTATTATTAGAGAGCAATAAATATGGTATTCGCAGCTTATTTACTGGAAAATACAATTTTGGTGTTGTCCCGGAGTGGGGTATTTGCACCCTATTTTTGAACCCCACCGTGGGATTTCTGTATGAACGCACGGCCCCAACGCAGGGGCGGATCTAGGGGGAGGGTGCAGGGGGTGCGCACCCAACTGGTATTCTTCCAAAGAAAAAAACTATGTGGTTTATCGGTGTTGAAGTAGAGCAAGAGACGAGTGCACCCCCTCCTAAAAAAAATCCTGGATCCGCCCCTGCAACGTCAGGAGTTATTGTGTGTTATCCAATCACTGACACATCCAGATTTTGGATGTGTCAAACGATTTGCTAAATGTTTTTGTATCAGGCTTTCCTTTCTCTTCTTCGCCTCACCCCTCCCCCATCTAAAATCTCTTCTATCCTAGCCACTTAGGAAGGCCTGATACTCAAGCTAGGGTAAAAGCATCTGTGTCAGGCGTTTCTCTCCTTCAGCTCTCTCCTTTTTCGCTTTCATCTTTCACCTTTTCCCCTAGAAACGACTGATACTCAGGCTACACCATGGAGCATCTGCAGCCCAGTTTCCAAAATAAAATGACAAGATGGCTAGCTCGAAAGCTAAGCTCCTCTGACCACCGCACACTTCTATCCAAGCCATTAATTTTCTTTTTTCCTTCTTCTTCTTCTTCTTTATTATTGTA